CCCCAAAACCCCAAAACCCCTCAATCATTAATTACACAGTATAAGTGGAAAAAAAGAATGAGAATATTGTTATTAGTTTTAAATTATTAAAATGAATATTTATTAATAAGTCAAAACTCTAGTAATTTTATCAATCAATTAAACTTCCGATATAAATTTAATGGCAACACTTGACTAAAAATAATCTAAACAGCAATCAAACTAAAGTTCCCAAAATCGAAGTCTTCTTAACAAAAATGCATTGATGGTTAATAACGTTAAATTGAACAATGAATAGGATATTTAGTTGAAGATAAAAAATATCAGAGAACAAGTCCTTATGGAAAAAGCAAAAGAACTATAAAATCAAATATAGGATCTGAAATATCACAAATACTTGGTATAAAAAGAACTATAAAAGCTAAATGATGATCAATAACCTTTATCACCAACTTTTGGTAATGATCAAACTCAATAACAGAAAGTTCAGCCTGACTTTAATGAGTTGGCTCTTAAGTAAATAAATGAAAAGAGCGTGAAGGAAGAATAATAAGATGACAGAATTTTTGATTTTTACCCTCTTTATAATCAAACTTCGAGGCAATTAGCACAGTCTAAAACTGATGCAAAATTTGAAAGCATGATATAATAGGAGCTGAACGATGAAAAAGATGTTGTTTATTAATCTTCTGCTGATAAATAGCTAGTATTTGATATAGAACAGGTCAAATTAAGTCTAATTAAGATGAAATAAACAGAGGAAAAGGTTTACGAGGAACTTGAGAAGAAAAAAATCAGGTAAAGATCATTAAATCCTAAAGATTAATAAACTGGATGCTATTAAAATGAAAATGCTAACAACAATGTTTCATTAGACTAAAATTCAATATTTAGAAATAATGATGAAAGCACCATTAAAATTGCGGAAACAATATGTAGCACAGGAGTGAAAGAAGAATTGCTAAAAAGTCTAAACCAACAAGATATGAAAAATGTGTAGTAGAGAATAAGTTTTAATCCAGATTAAACAACAGTAGCATAATTATAAAATAATCAGAACTTAACTGAGCTTTAAGATATACTTTTAGTTAGTTCTAGCTCATAAAATGAAAGTCTACTAAGAATTGAACACCCTCAACCACCCCCACCTAAGCCAATCTCTTAGAAATATATGAAAATTAATCCTAGATAGATGAGTATGTAAATTGATTAGCAGATTTCAAGCAACGGAAGACAGCCTGCTTAAAATTAGATACTTTAAAAGAGATAGACTGGCATTATTGGAGGCAAGGCTTAGCAAATAAAATAATCAATATCGATGAATAATTCCAAAAATAATCATAGTAACAGTCCTAATCACACATTCTCAGTGTTCTCAAAGAATAATTAACACTAAGTTCAAGGAATATTCCAGTTAAGAGTGTAACAAAGTATCTTAGATTCAAGCAAAGATAACAATGAAAAAACTTAACAATCAATTGTTTCTCCTAATTTCAATTCTTTGGCAAGCTAAAAGTCTTAAAAACCAGCCTTCATTGGTAATTATAATTCATAAGGACATGTATAGGATGAATAGTCTCTACGATCAAGTGATTTATCAAATCCAACAATAAGTGCTCAGAAAACTATCAAAGAGCAACAATAAAAAGAAAGTTAAAGGCAGTAAAACTAAATAGCTCCATATAAAAAGTTAAGAACTATGACTGAAAGCCATATAGCAGATTAAAGCTTGATATCAAAAAATATTACACCTGGATAAAATATGATGCAAATGGTAAGCAATAGTTACAAAAAATCGTAAGTTATGAATGTGAATCATAGAAATTCTTTGATTAAGCAGCCAGTCAATAATCGTATTAGCTCTAACAAACCTCAGGATCAGGTAAACTAAAAAGAAGCGCAATAAAGCAAATCAAATCAGAAATAGTCTTAGCAATCGAGTAAAATAAAACAAGCTAGAAACTTATTTTCGCCTGAATTAAATAATAGATAGAGTAGCAAATTCTGTAATTTACTAGATGAAAGGTCAAAAAGTAAAGGTAAAGTATTAGCCTAAACTCATAGAAGTCCATTAAGGGAAGTTGCATAATAAAAATATTCAGTTAAAAAGGTGAAAAGTATTAAAACTATTACTGTTCAAAGTTCAATTACTGAGATCTAAGGATTAAGCAGAAACAATGAGTCAGTACTAAATGGCAATAGATCAACAATGACTAAGAGTGAAACTTCCCATTAATTTATCTCTTCTAAAGTAAATGAGATCAAGAAGAATATTCACCTTAACCTCAGAATACCAAACACGATTTAATATGATCCTTCAAAATAGGCAGAGTTCCCTAGAACTGTAAAAGAAAAATCATTATAAAAGTCATCAGAGACCACTTCGTAATATACGATTGAAAGCTATAGAACTGGAGAATCAAAAACGAGTAGGAATAAGAACTCTCACAATGTTGTCAAGAGTGCCTGGCTTAAAGATTATGATTCGAAGCTGCAGCAGCTGATAGTTACATCACCTAGCAAAAATCTTAAGAGCCGACTTTACTTCAATTCTCCAAGGACATGTTAATTAAGAGTTTCTCCAGATGGAAAACAATTATATGAAGAAAATGGTGAGAGTCTTGAAAGTGGTAACTAATCTCTAGGGCGAGATATAATCTCAATATGATCATTAATAAATAAGAATGAGCGGTATATTTTTGAGTCAAATAATTGAAATATAATAAGTTATTCTCATTAATCACAAGCTAATAAATATTAAGGGGTTTTGGGGTTTTGGGGTTTTGGGG